GTTTGTTTGTAATTTTTGTTGAACGATTCCTTAACGAAGATCAAACAATTTTAGCATAGCTTAGCAAATAAAACATGGGTTTCGATAATCGGGACGTTTGATCGTCATGATAAAGAAAGAACAGCACAAATGTAAACTGAGTTCTGAGATCAATTAAAAAGCTCTAAGCATTTACAAGAACAAAAATTGGAAGGAGAAGCACTTATGAAGCAGTGTCAACAGGCGTGTCGGAATGAGCTCCCCATTCAGTCCAAGAGCCATCATAGACTGGAACATCATGCTTCCCAAGCCGATGGAGGCCCTGAAAGTTACAGATTTTCACCACTCAGCCTGCTAAATCTTTGATTTTGTTCCATAGATTAAGAATTTGAAGGTGAAGAGATGTACCAATGCAAGAATGCAGGCAGTAACGCCGGTGCCACAAGACGTTACGACAGGATTTTCCAAAGATATGCCTGCAAAAACCGATCAACTTAAGTATATATCGTCGTGCCCGTTTGGGACCTGAGACCCTTGAAGAATGGCCTTTCTTCGGTGTAAACGAATACCGTTTTTGTTTAGGTAAAGAACTTAACCTTCTTGTTCGAAGCGTTTCTTGAGCTGATCTGCTGGTAAAAGTGACTGTGAACTATCCAGCATCTGCAAAGGTCATAGGGAAGGATTCTAACACTATAGATACAACTTATAACGATCGAGATTAAGAGCTTTAAGAAACGAATGTTCGTTACGAGATATAGACGAACAAAAAATATGGGGGCATACATGTATATATATCAGCCTGAAACCAACCAGAACCAAATTACAGAAAGCAACTCTAATCGTTAATGATTTAAAAACAAACGATATTTACGAGATGTCCTAACGATTAGTACCCTCCTCCTTCGAGCTAAATGCTTAACAGAATCAAATCTTCACATTTATTAAAGAATAAAAGTTCTAGCTATGAATATACGATCTCGAAGAAACGCAGAGTTTAAACAGCCTAAATGACGGTTAGTATATGCTATGTAACTCTTCGATGAAATTGAAAATTTTGATATGAACAAACCAAATACGAACCCGAAGAAGAAGGGTAACTGTTTCAAATTCTAGCTATGAACTACAAACATAAGGTACTAACTGATATTGATAAGAACCTGGGCAAAAGGAATGCACTTGCTGCCAGGAACATGGCCACTTCGGATTCCTTTCCGAGGCTCTGGGACAGCACCATCAAATCTGCAAGACGAAAACGTAATTCGAGGATAGAAAGGACGATTTTATCACAGATTATTCAACCAAATACTTCATCGTTCAATTGACGGACAGATAAGGGAGTCGATACAGTATGGTATAGCTCGATTTCAAAAGTCTTGAGAAAAGCTAAATGAACATATCCACCAATAGACCGATCGATAAAATCTAGAATCTACAGTACCTGGCCTTCGATCGAGCGTCTACGTGTTGGTGAGTTCGTCCTGTAATATTCTCTTGAACCTGGAACATGTTAGAGAGAAAAGGTTCACATCTAAAATGCGTATAAGATACGATTGCATTGCTTTTTCACACACGCTCACTCTAGAACGCTGTGATGAATATCCAAATTCAATTTCTTTTTCGGCGCCGAACATATACCAACAACAATCAACATTGCAACAGAACGACAAGTTTACACATCAACTCAAACTTTAAGGATATCAGTTCATACACTGCTATATGATTCTATAAAGCATTATATTATTCATATTCTAAGCTAACAGTTTTCTTTTTCTTTTTTTCGTTTTGGGATAAAGAACCGAAGTTTCTTTGAGGGAAAAAAAAAAACTCTTAACAGCTTTGTAATGAACAGCCTAACCTTCTCAATGTCCCAGACCAGATGTGGCTGAAACTTAGTCTGAAATGTAATTGGCCCAACCTGAGAAAATGAGTAATTGTTGTCGTTGTAACATTTAAGTAACTTACGGGATGAAGTATTTGTACAAACACGACAAATTATACACAAACTATTCATGGCACTAGTAGCTTTTAGACAAAACATAGGACAAAATATGTGAGATCCCACATCGATTGGAGAGGGGAACGAGTGTCAGCAAGGACGCTGGACCCCGAAGGGAGGTGGATCGTGAGATCCCACATCGGTTGGGGAGGAGAACGAAGCATTTTAAAATAGCATCACCCGATGCACGGGATAAATTCTCTATATTGCAGATGCGTTTTAAAAACCTTGAAAGGAAGCCCGAAAGGGAAAGCTCAAAGAGAACAATATCCGCTAGCGGTGGGGTTTGAGCTGATACAGAACACATGAAGTTATGAACTTACAGCTTGCCCTTGATAAATTCTCTCTATTGCCTCACTTGCAGCAGTAGCTTTCAAAATAGCATCACCAGAAGCACTGGATTCAACGTCATATCCTAACGTACGCCATTTCGGCAATCCTCCATCTAGCACCCAAATTCTGTCGTGCCCAAAGACTCTGAACATCCTATATTCAATTACCATAATTGATTTCTCGAATAAACGTTCGAAAACATAAAACACTGCTAAGTCAATTGTTTATTTCTGCATCTCACCACCAGACACGAGCGGCACTAAAAAGTCCTTTTCCATCGTAAACAACCACACCATCTTCGTTTTGAATGCCAAGAGCGGAGACAACAGCAGCAAAAGCTTCCTCTGATGGCAACATATGTGGTAACTGAAACAAACAATCATTCCATTGTCTTAAATTAGCAAATGAACTGAAGAAAAGCTAAATAAATTAAAGAAAAAGAGATGATTTCACCTTTGAAGTTCGGTCAGATACACCGTCGATATCAAAGAAAAGGGCACCAGGGACGTGAGCAACCTATCAAAATTATAACCACACTAAGAACTGATACTTCACCACGAAATATAAAAAGTAGTTCACCACACATCTATCAAATCGACTACCTGGTACTCCTGAATCGGATTCCTCTGTTCATCTGGCATGTACCACGATGCATCTAACACCTAAAAACGAGCAGTTTAAAAGGGAGAACAGCTTTAGAAATACAAAACATAAAGCTACCAGACTTGCAAATCGCAATTTTTCTAAGATATGTTAATAAGCAATGAGCAAGAACATTTTTATATGAATGTGTAGAAATCAACGAGAAATGCATAGTCCCAAGGCAAAAACAATAGGTACTGACTAGATCGACGCACGGTCGAACTGTCAAACAAACCGAATTCTGAATGCCGCAAATACTGAGGGAATACGACATGGACATCTCGCAAAGAAAAGGACTAGAAGCATGGATACCGTAGATTTTAAGAGCATTTAAGTAACCACGAGGATCGAGTAATTGTCCCGTAAGAATAATCAAGATACACACGAGCCAGTCCGAACACTCATTCATTAAAAAAAGAGAGCATACAACCAAGATAACAAACAACAATGTCTTAAGTACTCTATTAACATACATACTAAATGATATGAATCCAATACACAACACTGGATAACAACGAATCAAAGATTACAAGTCTAGAATGAACTGAATCAATCAGCATATTGAACAGCATTTGTTAAGCTAAGCAACCACAGAAGTAAAAATTATAGGTGAAACCAACAAGAAATGATACCTTCAAGTCAGGCTGTTTGAGATTAGAATGGAGCCAATCAGGGGAAACAACAGGATCATCCATGGATAAGGATTTGGTTGAAAATTGAGCTCTAGCCCCAGCAACAGAGGAAGCCATGAAAGAACAGAGTCGCCGAGTCGGATTATGTGCTACACTGGCTGAGTTAACTTGAGAGTGAAACAATTTCTTCTACGATATAGAAGAATGAAAACAAAGCAAATTCATAAGGCTTTAACAGACCAAAAAACCTAAACAGAAGATGAATTCAAAACAACAAACACTTGACTTACATTGAAGAAGGAAGCAAAAATCTGGGGTTTGCCAGAGGGAGCGGAGAAAGAATGAGCGAATCGATTAACCAAAAGGGATTTACTCAAAAGGGTGGATGCCATCTACACGAAGAACATAGAAAATCCCGTCGCTTCCAGAAATTTGTCGGATTTACAGAGAAAACAAACAAGGGTTTTGGATTTTCAAGTGCGATAAATGATAAGAAACAAAGGGAGAGAAGAACAAACTTCAATTCATCGGCAGGAAATTGAACACGGGAAATGGAATCCAAAGATAGTTATGGGCGAGGTTGAGAGTGAACAAAAAAGCGGCAAACCAGAGAGACCCAGCAAGAATGTGTGGAATTGTCCCTATAAACGACGCTACAACCCGGTGAGATTTGAACCACCGATTAAGAATACAATTGTTTTCACTTAAAAATAAATATTAAAACCCATAATGTTTTATTTGGACACCAAATTAATAGACTTCAACATATTAAAAAAAATTTAAAATTTAATTGATACTTAGACAATGCTCACACTTAAAATTGAGAAAAAATATCAATTTTTACGTAAATTTGTATCGATCTTTTATCTTAAACTTTTGGTTGTAATCCGCTGGAACCTAAAAAAACGTAAATAAGCGTTTCAATATTTACAATTTTTACGGTAAGATAAGTTTTCTCGTTTAAAATATCATTAAAAAGATACTTTCACCTACGTTAGTAGCAGTATAAAACATAAGTATGATATAAAATTATTAAGATTTCAATCGCATTTAATGTCTAATTTATATATTAATTAAACTTAAATTAAGACATTATATATTAATTAAACTTAAATTAATATATAGATGTGAAGTTGAAAATTAATCAGCTAAACATTACAAAAATAAAATTATTCTTCTCCTAAAAGCTTACCAGAACGGTATGAAAAAATAATGAGTAAAGAAAAACACAAAAGAAAAGAATAACGTCTTAATAAGAGAAAATCATCCAAGAACGGATGAATCATGTGCAAAGCTTGAGTTTCCCAGATTCACCACATTTTTGTATCTTAGCATTATCTTTTAGAGCCTTGAAATTGGTATGTTTTATCTCGCACGTCATAAAGTCACGTTCGTAGAATGGTTTTGGCAAATGATGCATGAAATCCTGCTAATTTGCATCACATAAAGGCATTATGTCACAAGACATTGAAAGTCAACAACGTTTTCCAAGAAACCGAACTTTCGTCGAGAGAGATCGAAAGGAATACAAAGGCAAGCAGAAGAGTGGCATAGTTTTATTTCAATGCTAGTAATTTTCTTCTAATGCTTCAATCTTTCCCTCCATTTTCTCCTTAGCAACAACTTTCTCAACGAACTCAAAGCGGTAGTTTAGAGCTTATCTGTTTTGGCCTGTATCGTCAACTTCACAGTTTTAAAACGCGTCTGTTAAGGAGAGGTTTCCACACCCTTATAAGGAATGCTCCGTTCCCCTCTCCGACCCGTGTGAGATCCTTCAATCCACCCCCTTGGGGGCCAGTGTCCTCGCTGGCATAGTGTTTGGCTTTGACATCATTTGTAAAAACTCAAGCCCATCGCTAGCAAATATTGTCCACTTTGGCCCGTTACATATCGTCATCAACCTCACGATTTTAAAACGCGTATGTTAAAGATAGGTTTCCACACCCTTATAAGAAATGATTCGTTCCCCCTCTCCAACTAATGTGGGATCTCACATTCTCTCTCCCAAAACAAAAATATACCAACCAAAGACTAACTAAATGCACCTAAACTCTCTACTTTTAAACGTGCTCTACACCATACATCAAGTATTTTCTATTGAATTACCTGTATCATCGTAATCAAACACCCCGACAATTCCCTTTTTACCGTTGTTGTTCGATCTCCTCGAGTAAGTATCTGGGAATAAACATGTATTTTCCCCCCTGAAATATTCTCACAACGACTTAAATGAAACCAAGATATCAATAAGAAAATTGAAAGTTGAAGGAAAGGTAAAGTAGTAGGCACAATGTTCTCTTTTCATGAACTTTATTATCAAGGAACATTGAAAGTCACGAGACAGCTACAAAGAAATGAAAACTTGAAAGAACCACTTATATTCTAAAGCCCTTTGGACTAATAAATAGTTACCTCTTCTTGATAGATATAGCCAAGAACCGATCACCACATACTGCCACTGTTCTTCTCTCCTGCTTTTCAAGGTTTTGCTTTTGCCTACACACATCTATCAGGGGAACAGATGAAAAAAATAGGGGAAAAAATAAAAAAATCATCCAAACATACATCAACTAAAGGTTTGTTCTTTAAACTTTGCCCATATTCTTTCCAAAATTTCAATATTACCTTGATCTTTCACAAGCGTTTCAAGCTTACTTTCAAAGTAGAAACCTTCCGGTATTTCGAACAAAATTTGAGAGACTTCGAATAGTGGAACAAAAACTTGGATCATCACACCATCCTTCTAGATCACCATCACATAATTCTAAGTCCCGATTTTTGTTCAAAATCTAAAGGATTTCTACAAAAATGGCTATCAAATGGGCCTAAGCTATCCAAGAATTTTAAGTTGTCCTTGTTTTTTTAATTTGGATGATTCTAGTGGTCACCTGTATCTCCTTCTTGATCGTTGGAGAAGTCAGAAATTGATCAGGTTATGAATAACTTCACTACCAATAGTCGGAACAGGAACAATTTCCATCAGTGAAATGATGAAACCGATATGGGTCCCTCAATACAATCTTTCGCCCAAGGATTCCACTCACAAACTTGAAGAAAGAATGGCAGTCACCACAAACACGAAGATTCTTGAAAATCCGAACAGTAGTACCTTCTGGGATATTGATCAATCCAAAAGCAAGAGCAATTCTTTCGCTATGGTTCCACATATTATGCTCCTTCTGTTCTTCATCTGTGTCCTGCAGTGAGTAGCTTGTATCAGGAACATAACCAGCTTCTCTAACCATTTTCATAAGTTCTAACAACTTGTCATTGATCTGGTCCGTCTGTGAATGTGTTTGGTCTCCCATTCCAAATATGCTGATATTTCCCTTCCATTTGACCCAGCTATGTGCAGGCTTCTTTTGAATTTTGCGTGCACCCATTTGTCCCCGCACGTCTTCGACATCTTTCCATCTGCCAATTGTTGCAAAGACATTCGAGTAAAGAACATAAGCTGAATCATCAGATGGATCCAACTCAAGAAGGTTCTCTGCAGCCTTTCTTCCGAGGTCTAGATTGCAATATATTCTACAAGAAGCCAAAAGGCTCCGCCAAACAAGATCATTAGGTGGTATTGGCATATCTGCAATAAAAGCTTCAGCTTCTACAAGCCTTCCTGATCTTCCAAGAAGATCAATCATGCACACACAATGTTCAATTCCAGGTTGAATTCCATATTCAGAAGTCATTGAAGCATAATATGCAAGACCCTCGTCGACTAACCCCCCGTGACTACATGCGGAAAGAAGACATATAAATGATACATGATCAGGTTTTATACCTAGTTTTAGCATCTCATGAAAAGTTTCCCTAGCCTTATGAAAATGTCCATGTCTGGCAAAAACTGATATCAATGTATTCCATGACAAGCGTGACCTATCGGTTGGCCGGGGAAGTACTTTTAAAGCATCATCCAGTTCCCCACACTTCCCATACATATCCATAGCAGCATTTATAACAAAATGATCACATTCGAATCCTAGTTTAAGCGTTGATCCATGAAGCTGTTGACCTTCCTCCAACATAGCCAAGTCGGCAGCAACTGAAAGAGCAGCGGAGAAGTTGAACTGATCAAATTCAATTCCAGCACGTCTCATCCTTACTACAAGTTTCAAAGCCTCTTCTCCGAATCCATAACGAGCATTTGCAGTAATGATGGCATTCCACACACTAGAAGTTTTAAACACCAATTTATCAAAGATATAGCTACTAGAGTGAAGGTCACCACATTTTGCATACATTGTGATAAGGGAACTTTGGACATGCTGATCCAGATCAAATCCTGTCACAACTGTATGCGCATGAATGGGCCTCCCATATTTGATCAGATCCTCATTAGTCAAACAAGAACCGAGCGTATTTACAATGGTAATATAGTCGACACCGCATGTACCCCCTTCCCTCATCAATTTGAAAGCTGCTACTGCCTCATTCGGTTCTGCATTATCAGCAAAACCACCTATAAGTGCATTCCAAGTTACTTTGTCATGCTTGGGCATCCTCTGTAATAACTTTTTCGCCTCAGCCATCTTATGGCACTTCCCATAAAATGTAATTAATGTGTTTCCAATGATCAAATCATCTTGCAGACCCAGAACGATGACAGAACCGTGGAGAATTTTCCCTTCGGTAAGAAATTCAGGATCTAAACAGGCAGCCAATGCACTTGTAAATGTCACATAATTAATCTCCTTTTTCATCCAAAGCATCTCAGCAAAAACATTTAAGGCACACAGGAACCTTCCATCCTGAGCATAGCATGCTAACATGGAATTCCATGAGATTACATCCCTTTCTGGCATTCTTCTAAAGATCATTTCTGCATCTTCAGATCTTCCAGCATCAGAATACATGCTTAAAAGAGTGTTGCAAAGACAAATATTAGGTTCTAGTCCATATTTCACTACTAGACCGTGAACCCCTTTTCCCCACTTCAAATAATCTAAAGAGCCACAAATTGATAACAAAATAGAAAGTGTTGTATCATTTATCTCTTCATGGATCGAGCGCATCCAGTAAAAATACCTAAATGATTCTTCATGTAGTGCATTTTGCGCATTTGCAGAGATGATGGAATTCCATGAGATTGTGTCTCTTTCATTCATCTCATTGAAAATACTGCAAGCCTCGTCAATGTCACCACAACCACTGAACATGGATATGAGAGAGTTAGCAGCAGAAACTTTAGTCTCTAATCCAAACTTTAAAACATGTCCAAGAAGTTGATGACCCAACAGTACATCCACAAGAAACCCACAAGAACTAACTACTAAAGCTATATTGTTTTCATTGCAGCATATTCCTTCACGCCGCATACGTTTATAAGTATTTATCACTTCCTCCTTACTTCCGTTATCTGAATATGAAACCATCAAAGAAGTCCAAGAGACCACATTCCTATCAGGCATCTCATTGAACATCTTTTGAGCGTTAGAGACAATCCCATAGCTACCATAAAAGTGCACAAAAGAAGTACCTACGAAAACATCATATATCAAACCACATTTAAATGCAAAACAATGAAGTTGGAAACCTTCATTGGCCATACAAGAGGACTTATTACAAGCAGTGACTAAACTTGCGATCACAAATCCACTTGGTTTAACGCCTATCCCACAAATATCTCGAAAGAACGATACTGCTTCCAAGTATGAACCCACTCGAACATAACCTGACATCATACTATTCCAAGAAGCTTCATTTCTCTCAGGCATTTCATCAAATACTAACCGAGCATATTTTATACGACCAAACTTTGAATACATATTGATCAATGTATTGGTCTGGAACACACTCAACCTCACCAAACTCTTTAAGCAAATGGCATGAACTGTTCTGCCAACAATTTCTTCTGTGATTAGAGAATAACCCTTTTGAGAAAAGCATGAAACTTCTGTATTTTGGTGGTTAGAAAGTGATAAAAACAAGTCGTTGGCTTGCTCTCCCCCTTCTGTATTCCAAATGATTGAAGTGGGCAAATTAAGGGCAGGCTGCCATTAAGATTCCACAAAATGAAAGAGATTTAAGTTCTTAAATCTAATCAAATTAATTACAACAAACGAAACATACCAATTTACAGAGAAGTCAAATTGAAATATTTGACTTTAGAAAGTTCAATATATAAGTTATAGGCATTGGTGTAGACCTGGGAAAAATGGCTAAACTTGCTAGCGTGTACTTGACCACTTCTTCCATTTTGAGGTTCTGATAGTGCTCCGTGAAATCTACACAAAAATGAACTTTAATCAAATCCAAGGAACCAAAGAAATTCCCCAGATCAATTCTTTTGTCTTGTAAATATATACATATACACATAAAAGTCTATGTTGGCTGGTTACCTAAATTTGAATTTGATCTTATCTTTAGATTTCAGGTATCCTTCTTAAGTTTTGGTTGACATCTGACTGTATCTTGTATTACTGATCCTACATATGCTATAAGACTGGTTATTTGATCTAACCTTCTTGCTAAGTTGACCCCAAAATCAGTAATAAATTGCAACAACCCAAAAAATCTTCCTTTATTGCTATACTTCAAGATACCTAAGATTGAAGAAGAAAAGGGGCGGAAAAAAAAAAATTAATCAGTCATAACATCAAATAAAAGAAACCAATTAGCCCTGGCTACAGATAGACAAGGCTAAGTATTGAAACAAAACGAGCTGGTAGATGAAGAAATAAAAGAAAACTCGAGTTCTTCTTTCACTATGTTTTAAACTAGGGGGAAAATCAATTTTTACCCACTTGAAAGTGTGTCAATTCTTACACTCAACTTTCTATTTGATCAAATTGAAACTTAGAGAGTTAGATACCATTTTTCCCTTTCATTAGATCTCAGATTGAAGAGTTGTTCAAAAAGAACACTCCCAATGATGTTCAGTGGATAACAAAACAAACGTTGGGTAGGAAATTATTGGGATTTTAAGAAAGCCAATGCTAGAGCTACATATTTTTGCTCAAATTGGTAAGTTTGGGGAGATTAATTCAAATGATCAATATTAAACATTTATCCATTTGGGCTTAATTTTCTGCATTATTCGTCAGAGCATCATTTTCAAAAGTTGCAATATTACAACCCTTCACCTTTCATACACTTTTGAAAGCTAACCCTCGAGGAAAAATCATTTAGAATTTCGAATGAAAATTGAGACCTAAAATAGTGCGGTAGTGATCTAGATTTACATGGCAATCCAAATTTTCATTTTAGGTCACTGACATGCCATTCCAGATTCCGATTTCTATTCAAAATGTTAAATAACTTCTACTCAAAAAGATAGTTTACAAACATTTATGAAAGTTCTAGAGTAACATTGCAATTTTTGAACCCTACTTCTCCTACCTTGTTATTCCTAAAAAAAAATGGATAAAATAAATGGGCACCAAATACGCAAAAGAATTCAGTTTCCTCCTCTCTCTTCTTCCAGTTAAACAACACATAGATTTTTACAGTTTCCGACTAATCCTTGATTCAAAATAGCCCTAACTAAAAGAATCTGATTCATTTTCTAGTAAACTCAATTGCAGTATCCACGCTAACACTAAAAAGAAAACTCCAAACAGAGTCCATGTCCGAATTGTACAGAAGCTATTGAATATGGAGAGAACGAGTAACTCACTTGGACGGAGCCGAGATGCAGTCTGATTGAAGGGAAGCATCAGCAAGAAGGAAAGGTTGCAAGCTTGATGAACAGGGTTTTCTTTTGCGCGGGGGGAGGGGGCGGGAATCTGATTGTAGAAGATGACTGAACCATCATGAAAGGTAAAAGAAATACATTTCAATAAACTTTTTTTCTTTTAATGATTTTTAAAATTTTAATTTTTACATTACAATTTCTTTACTTCATTTTTGCTCCTCATTAATATTTTTTAACTAAAAAAATATTTAAAAATATAATTACAGATTATCTCCAAACATTTTAATCTTACTTTTTTAAATTTATGAATAGTAAAAGTATTCATTAAATTTTTAAAAACATTTTAAAAGTGGTTATAAAAAAATTTAAAATTATTAATAAAAATTTTAAAAACTCAAAAATATTTTTGAAATATATTTTAAAATCATTTATTAAGAATATTTTTTAAATAAAATATTAACGCTTCTATCCAAAATTAATATTATTAATTTTTTTTAGTTTTAACATTATTATTGAAATTTTTTTAACTTTAAAAGTATTAATTTGTTTTTTTTTTTAAGAAAGTGAGTATATTTTATTAATTTAGCTGAATTTTATTTACGTCAATGATCACACATTCCTTCTTTTTAGGGTTTTTTTTTTCCTACAATTTCTTTTTAAATGGGTAGTTGTTGACTTTGAAATTTGACCATTTGCACCCATTTTTTTACTTTAATTTGAATGAGCCAAAAATTATTCATTTTCATTATTTTTCAAATATTACAAATTTTAATATTGTTTTGATTGTAATATAATAGATATATATATATATATATATATAAATTATTTTATGAAATTTATGACATCATAGTAAATACGAGAGGAATTCAAGGATTTAAACGTCTTATTTAAATTTTTATCGATATTCAAATTAATAGGTTTGAACCCACCACGATGAATTTAAGGATATCAATCTCTCACCAACCCAACATCCATTTGGTCAAATTGATACATTCATGGTGGTGAGAATTACATTATTTAGATATCCATGAGCGGCCAAGTAGGTTATTGGAGTCCACTTTAAGTCTAATTCTCCCTCCCATAATTTGTTTTCGGGTATTATCGTTTTAATATAATATATATATATATTTAATTTCCCGAACAAATAGATAAAATTTTAATTTCTTAATCAATTTACTTGAAATTACTAGAAACCCAGTTCGCTAAGGTGATTCGTTGACCTTTATGCCGCCTTATGATCAAATATTACTGTACATTCGTTGAGATCAAAATTCGAAATTACCCTTATCTCAATTTTGTAAAACTAAAAAAACTCATCTCTAATTAAAGGTTTTTGGGTCATTACAGTAATTTTAACGTCTTGTGGGATTTGAGATATCAACTCGAGCATAGTTCAATAAAAAGATATCAATTATCATTCTAAATACCCTGATCTCAATTTTGTAAAACTGAAAAAAATCCATCTCTAATTAGAGGTTGTTGGATCATTATAGTAATTTTAATGTCTCGTAATATGATAATGTAAGGTATTTGAGATATCAACTCGAGCATAGTTCAGACATCAATAATCATTCTAAATACCCTGATCTCAATTTTGTAAAACTAAAAAAACTCATCTCTAGTGAGAGGTCATTATAGTAATTTTAACGTCTCGTAGTGTAATAAAATAAGGGATTTGAGATATCAACTCGAGCATAGTTCAATGAAAAGACATCAATAATCATTCTAAATACCCTGATCTCAATTTTGTAAAACTAAAAAAACTCATCTCTAGTGAGAGGTCATTACAGTAATTTTAACGTCTCGTAGTGTAATAAAATAAGGGATTTGAGATATCAACTCGAGCATAGTTCAATGAAAAGACATCAATTATCATTCTAAATACCCTGATCTCAATTTTGTAAAACTAAAAAAACTCATCTCTAGTGAGAGGTCATTACAGTAATTTTAACGTCTCGTAGTGTAATAAAATAAGGGATTTGAGATATCAACTCGAGCATAGTTCAATGAAAAGACATCAATTATCATTCTAAATAGCGATATTGATTAAATCGGTGAGTCCACTTATGAAAACCTACCAAACCCACATTCATTTTTTCCCAAATTCATCATAATTACAACGACCCATAAATTTTATAACATAAAGTTTTGTGCTTTTGATGATCTCTCCAAAACCCATCTCCCCATTTATAAAAAGGGTACCATTATCATCCATTTTCCCCACTACAATTCAGCAACACTACGCTTTGAAGTCTTTGGCCCTTTGTTTTTGTTTGTTTTCTTGTTGAGCAATGGGTCAGGGAAGGGGCAGTGCGGTGGTGGGTGCGGTGATGGTTTGTATGCTGCTGCTCCAATATTCTCAGGTGGCTCGTGCAGCAGTTTATACTGTTGGAGGTGCTAAAGGCTGGACCTTTAATGTTGCCTCCTGGCCTAAGGGAAAGCGCTTCCGAGCTGGCGATACACTCGGTAATTTTTCGTATTAAGCACTTGAAAAGTTATTCTAAACTAGTTTTAATGTAGTGTTTGGTAGTATTATAGTCGTATGCATTTAATTTGACCCGTCTGAGACGTGTCCCGAGCTGGGACCGTTCTTGTTTTCTAAATGCAATAGAACTTGTATCACAGTTGTCCATAATCCCGAGCTTGAACTTGTGGCTCGTGGAGATTTTTAACACAACAAAACCATATTGAATGTTAGATATTGTCTCTCTTTCCCTTCTGGATTTTTTCCTCGAAGTTTTCAAACGAGTCTAGTACGGGAGAGTTTTTTATACCATTATAACTTCTCACTGTTAGCATATATTGTTTCTTTCCCTTCTCGGTCTTCTCTCAAAGTTTTCAAACGCGTTTAGTAGGTAGAGGTTTTCACACCCTTGTAACTTTATTCCCGTCTCCAACCGATCACTGTTAGCTGATATTACCTCCTCTCCTTTCTGGGTTTTCCCTCAAAGTTTTTAAACCCGTCTAGTAGGAAGAGGTTTTCACACCCTTATAAATTCGTTCCCCTCTCCAACCAACCATAAATATTGCCTTCTTTCCCTCCTCGGTTTCTCTCAAAGTTTTCAAACACTTCTAGTAAAAAGAGGTTTCCACGCCCTTATAACTTTATTCCCTTCTCCAATGGACGTGGGATCTTACAATCCACCCTTCTTGGGAGCCTAGCGTCCTCGTTAGCACACCATCTGGTATCTAGTTTTGATACCATTTATAAAGGCCCGAGTCCACTCCTAGCAGATATTATCATATTTGAACCCTCTTAGACTTTCCCTTAAGATTTCAAAACACGTCTAATAGTGAGAGGTTTACACACTTGATAAGTATTGCTCAGTTCCCCTCTCCAACCGACGTAGAATCTCGGTAACTTTTTGTTATAAGAAACGATTCGTTTTGTGCAGTATTCAACTACAGCCCAGCGGCACACAACGTGGTGGGTGTCAACCGAGTGGGCTACAGCCGGTGCACAACTCCAAGGGGTTCCAAAGTTTTCAAAACAGGAAAGGACCAAATCAAGCTGGTGAAGGGCCAAAACTTCTTCATCTGCACACTCCCAGGCCACTGCCAGGCCGGAATGAAGATAGCCATCACTGCCGCTTAAAAACACCGCCATCTTGCTTGAGAGTCCACCATTTGGATCAAATATTAATGGATTAAGTTACTTAATTTCAAATGGGTTTTGGAGATTATGCCTTAATCCTGTTGAATTTGGTGTCTAATTTAGACTCTCATACAATAATCCTACTAACAATATGAGTATTTTCTAGCTTAAGTGCTTTAAGAATGTTTTGCTTAAATGTACTGTGGAATAAAATTTAATATCTTAGTGTGGTACTTTTTTATATCTATTATTATATTAAGTATTATCGATAACGAACAAAAAATTTTAAATTTTTATTTAAAACGTTATGATCGATTGCTAGTAGTGAGGTGAGGTGACAACAATTTTGTTGTTGGTAGTGAACAATCATACTTGTGAAAGCTACGATGACAAACATGGGTCATTGTCAGAGTTGATCGATGGTGGGTAGTGGAGGAATTTGATAATGATGAGAGGCGGTAGTTGTCGACGTTGGGTTCGACAATCGCCAACAATGAGTGGGTAGTAAAGACTTTGGAGAAGCGAAGGTAGTGTGAGGTTATTTTAGTCATTTACTATTATGTGGAGGCTGACGACACAGATATTTGGTAGTGAACGATAATACTTGTCAAAACTACGATGACAAACATGGGTCGTTGTCAGAGTTGATCGATGGTGGGTAGTGGTGGAATTTGATAATGATGAGAGGCGGTAGTTGTCGACGTTGGGTTCGACAATCGCCGACAATGAGTGGGTAGTAAAGACTTTGGAGAAGCGAAGGTAGTGTGAGGTTATTTTAGTCATTTACTATTATGTGGAGGCTGACGACACAGATATTTGGTAGTGAACGATAATACTTGTCAAAACTACGATGACAAACATGGGTCGTTGTCAGAGTTGATCGATGGTGGGTAGTGGTGGAATTTGATAATGATGAGAGGCGGTAGTTGTCGACGTTGGGTTCGACAATCGCCGACAATGAGTGGGTAGTAAAGACTTTGGAGAAGCGAAGGTAGTGTGAGGTTATTTTAGTCATTTACTATTATGTGGAGGCTGACGACACAGATATTTGGTAGTGAACGATAATACTTGTCAAAACTACGATGACAAACATGGGTCGTTGTCAGAGTTGATCGATGGTGGGTAGTGGTGGAATTTGATAATGATGAGAGGCGGTAGTTGTCGACGTTGGGTTCGACAATCGCCGACAATGAGTGGGTAGTAAAGACTTTGGAGAAGCGAAGGTAGTGTGAGGTTATTTTAGTCATTTACTATTATGTGGAGGCTGACGACACAGATATTTGGTAGTGAACGATAATACTTGTCAAAACTACGATGATAAACATGGGTCGTTGTCAGAGTTGATCGGTGGTGGGCAGTGGAGGAATATGGTGATGATGAGAGGTGGTAGTTGTTGATAGTGGTTTCGACAATCACCGACCATGAGCGAGTGGTAAAGACTCAAGAGAAGTAAAAGGTAGTGTGAGGTTATTTTGGTCATTTACTATTATGTTAAGGTTGACGACATAGATGTCCACATGGTGGAGCCGGAACAAGGAAGTCTTCCCTATTCTCCTCGCTTGCATAAATTTTTTTTTCTTTTTCACATATTTTAAATTTGTTATTTAAATTATTTTAATGAATAATTTACCTTTTCAAAAAGTATATATAAACATCGTAATAAATTTAATAATATTTTATAAGTAAAAATATAATACAATATTCTAATTTCGTCATTTTTAAAAATTCAAATTTTAATATTATTTTTGAACTAAACGAACAGACTCCATAAATAGAAATTTTAATTTGATAATAATTAGAAGCCGTGATTTTTATAGTAAATTTTTGTTATGATCATGTCCATTAGATCAGCCCCAACACCCCATTTATAAAGGGGTCTCATCGGCCACCTCCTTACTCCACACCACCGACCCTTAAGGAAGAAAGAAAGAAAGAAATGGCTCAGGGAAGGGGCAGTGCAGTGGGTGTGGGTGCAGCCATGGCTTGCTTGCTGCTGCTCCAATACACTGACATGGTTCGTGCCGCAGTTTTCACTGTTGGCGATGATCATGGCTGGACCTTCAACGTCGAATCCTGGCCTAACCAAAAGCTCTTCCGGGCTGGTGACACACTCGGTAATATTTGAGTTATTGTTATGGTTTACATTATCTTTTTTGGACTTTTTCTTTCGAACTTTCTCTCGGTGTTGTTAGTAGAGGTTTTTCACATACTTTTAAAGAATGTTTCCTCGGTTTCGATGTGTTATCTCACAATCTACTCTCTTCTACTCTCTCCCATCAACGTGGGATCTCACAATTCAACCCCTTCAGAACCCAACGTCCTTGCTGACATGCTGTTGGGTGTCCACCCCATTTAGGGCTTAGAGTCCTCACTGGTACACACAGTGACTGGTTCTGATACCATTTATAAGAACCCAAGCCCACAACTAGCTAATAATGGCCTTTTAGGGTTTTCCCTTTTGGGCTTCCTTTAAATTTTTAAAATGAGGAGAAGTTTCACACCCATATGACCACAGAAGAAATGACTAACTGAGTTAGATCACTAACTAATACTAATAGAATAGAAAAAAACTGTCTTTTCTGTATACTTTCATCGGTTCCGTTGCTACCGCGGGCTTTACGCAATCAAACGGATCATGTAGATATCCCTTCAACACAACATAGGTCAACATATCATATCATAACTTTCATACTCTGAGGAGAGGTTTCGAGCTTCCCCTCTCTTAGTTTTTCCAACACGAAAACACCTTCCTTTTCAGTGGCTCAATCCTAAAACGTGTTTAGGGTTGATACAATTTTTTATTAAGTGACCTCTTATAAATATATTAGAAAGACTCGTGTTAGTTTATGGAGATAGTCCTTACTCTTTAGAAGCAAGTAACATGACTATGTCAGAGTCATAGATACCTTCGAGTCATGAGCATGAGTCGTTAAAATTGTACGTGGTTTGTTGTCGTTCCAGTATTCAACTACAGCCCAGGGTCACACAACGTGGTGGGAGTGAACAGTGTGGGGTACAACCAGTGCATGGCTCCAAGGGGTTCCAAGGTTTTGGAATCAGGGAAGGATCAAATGAAGCTGGTTAAGGGACAGAACTTCTTCATCTGCACAGTCCCAGGCCACTGCCAGGCCGGGATGAGGATAGCCATCAATGCAGCTTAACGTGCCACACCACCTTCTTTTATGGATTAAGTCACACTAATTATGTTTAAGCCCCTTTTGCTTAATCTATGTATGTTTCGTGGAGAATAAGGTTTGAATGTGTCACTCAATAATCATTCAATCGTACATGAAATTATCACTTTACACGCCTCTCTTAGCTCCTTCAGTTCTTCCAAAATCATTCAATCCTTTTTTGTCTTTCGAGAATTTTCTTGTTATAGTCCACCACTAATAGATACTGTCCGTTTTGGACGTTTACGTATCGCTGTCGGCTTAACAATGTTAAAACACGTCTATCATAGAGAGATTTACACACCCTTTTAAATAATATTTCGTTTTTCTCTCCAACCGAGGTGAGATCTCACATTTCTGAAACAGTGCTTTACCCTTAGATCTACTGAAACAGTGACCCTTATTATTTTGAGATCATATCTAGTATTCAGAGTTTGTCTCAATTTGGTACCGCTCTCACGGCCCGTACTGCGTACTGAAATAGTGCTTTATCCACTGAAAGAGTGGCCCCTAGATGTCCAGTCAAGCTTTACCCTTAGATGTACTCAAACAGTGAGTGACCCCTAGATGTCTAGTCAAGCCTTAGATGTCCAATCAAGCCTCAACCCATTTTGCTTTGGGTTCGAGTGACATTTCACCCCTGACTACAACTCATCCGTTGATTCTTTCAGTTAGTTCGGACCTCCATTTAGTTTCACCCAAGCTTCATCCTAGTCAGATCACCCAGGTTCGAACCTCGAAATATATATATATATATATATATATATATATATATATATATATTTATATTTGGAGTTGTAGGGTATAAAATGGAATAATTATAATAATTTGACAAAATGAACAATAATATGTTATTGGACGGTTTTAAGTCAACTATTTGACATATTTACAATATTGACCATTACCCCTAAACGCAACGTGCTAAGGTGTACTAAAGTCATTGGCCAATTCCAAGGGCTTCTCTTTTTTTCTTTTTTCCCACTCATTGACTTTATTTGAGTTTTGACTTTTAAATTATTGATTTAATTAAATTAAACAAAAATATTCCTTTTAGCTAATTTGAGTTTTGACCTGTAAAATAAAATAAAAACCACCAAAAATATTCATTTAACCCGGCCTCGAGAGGCAAAGATTCCTCCGCTTAAGCCTCGAGAGGCAAAGATTCCTCCGCGTAAATGACAGCGGACTTGCGATTGTGCGACACTCACTTTCCAACAACAAGTGAGCTAAGCGACGTATGCTCGAGTCTCTGGGGTAGAGAGATTTTTGAAAAAGACATTATATAAGCAAGCAAGATAGTAGTATATAACCTTTCTCCACTTTATGAATATACTTGTTAATAAGTAGATAATTTTTTGAAATTATTTGATTACTATGATGTCTATGGGGCGGGGACGGAGACATTAAAGCCTTTCCCGTCCCTGCCCCATAGACATCGAGACATCTACTTGTGATTCTTCCAATACTTTATAGTTATAAATCAAGCTTCTTTTTTTTTCATTATTAAATGCAATAAAGCCTACATTAATGTGACTATAAAAAGGGCCAATATCCCTTAATTCATCTCATCCACCTCTTTTCCTTAGCTCTAACTAAACATAGAGTTCCTTTGAAGTTTGGAAAAGAAATGGGTCAGGGAAATGGCAGTGCCATGGCTCTCACTTTGTTGCTTTGCCTGTTCCTCATGCAATCTTGGATGGCTCAGGCTAGAGTCTACACGGTTGGTGATGCCCAAGGCTGGACCTTTAATGTCACTGGCTGGACTCGGGGCAAGATATTCCGTGCTGACGATGTCCTCGGTAAGCTTCTCGATCCCATTATGTTGTTTTGTACTCGTTTTTCTCGACTTCATATGTGAGATCTCACACATTCCTTATATGGGTGTGGAAAACCTCTCTCTAGCATACGTGTTTTAAAACCTTGAGGGGAAGTTCGGAAGGAAAAGCATAAATAGGACAATATCTATTGGCAGTGCATTTGTGCTATTACAAAATGGTATCAAAGCTAGATATAGGGTAGTGTGCCTGCGAGAACGCTCGGCCTCCAGGGAGGAGTGTATTGTGAGATTCCACCTCGGTTGGAGAAGGGAACGAAACATTGGTTATAAAGGTGTGGAAAACTTCTTCTTAGCAGATGCGTTTTAAAATCTTGAGGGAAAGTCTGGAAGGGAAACCCCAAAGAGGATAATGTCTTTTAGCGGTGTGTTTGGGTTGTTACGAATGGTATTAGAGCTAGACATCAGACAGTGTGCTAGAGAAGATGTTGGCCCGCAAGGAGGGGTGGACTGTGAGATCCCACATCGGTTGGAGAGGGAAACGAAACATTTATAAGGGTGTGGAAAACCTAAACCTCTCCATAATAGACACGTTTTAAAATCTAGAGAGGATAATATCTCCTGGTAGTAGGTTTGGATAGTTAAACCATGTTTATCATACTAAAAGTTACTTTGAATGCAGCATTCAACTACCCTGCCAAGGCACACAACGTGGTGGCGTTGTTGACGAACAAGGTGGCCTACAATTGGTGCTTGAAAACGAGAGGCTCGAAAGTTTACCAAACGGGAAAGGATAGAATCAAGCTCGTCAAAGGAGACAACTTTTTCATGTGCAGCTTCCCAGGGCACTGCAAAGCTGGAATGAAGATCGCCATCAAAGCTCTTTAGAACATATGATATGATATAATATAACGTAACACGAACATTAAAAAGCAAAAGCAAATTATTTTTATGTTTGAATTTGTTTTCTTTAACGTTGGAATGAATGTGTTGTTGTTTTAATTTTGATCATATTATTTGTTCTAATTAAGTGTTCTGCTCGTCCAGAAATGGCTTCTATTATGAATATTAAGTAAAATTAAGAAAATATTAAATAATGGAATTTTAATTATTATTATTATTATTTTCTATTATTGAGTTGGAGTTTAATGGGTTTCATGAGCTCTCCAAACGTGTGGGCATGTCTTTGTTTTTGTTCTATTGAGTTGTCTTGTTCTTGAGGAGAGAGAAGAATATCCAACTTTTTTTTTTTTTGTTTAATTCTCTCAAATTTATTTATTTGATCTCGTTATCTTAGAACGACGACCAAGACATGACTTTAATATCATGTTAGAACAACGACCAAGACATGATTTTAATACCATGTTAAAACAACAACCTTTCACATGGGTATGATATTATCCATTTTAAGCGTAAGTTCTCGAAACTATGTTTTTAGTTTCCCTAAAAAGTTTTATACTCGTAGAGATAGTGTATCTTATATATATATGATTTTTTCCTTAATTAGTCAACGTGAGACTCCAAACATAAACGTTTAGGGTCAAACTTGTAATTTAACTTTTTTCTTTTATATCTCATATACCAAAGTCGGGTTAGTCCATTTAGACTTGTATATGAACATGTTTGACGTATACTCTTTCTATTTGATTCTATATATATATATATATATATATATATATTCGTGTAAATTACGAACAAGATAGGATGTTCTATTTCAAAATATCTCAATTCGAGGGAAGAAAAAATGGATTGAAAATTAAAAAATGAGTTAATTTGGGAGAGAACAAGCCATGCTAGATCAAAATTCAAAATTTTAAGATGAAGAGAAAAGCTGTGAGTATCAAGTTTTGCCATCTTTGGGAGATTGATGATACTAATGTTGATGCCTTCGAGCTGTCGACGACGCTGCATGTTAGCTGCTTGTCGTGATATGAACACACCTTTTGGTTCCTACGTTTCAAAAATCATTTTTAAAAGATCGATTAGTTTACGAGTAGAAATTTGAACCTCAAATCTCAATAATAATGGTACCTTGTTGCACAAAAGGCGACAACATAGTCAGCTGAGGAACATGTCAAGATGCTTGTAGGATCATCGTATCCAAAACTATAGGCAGCTGGGCAAACTTGCTTGAAACTCCTCGAATAATTCGTCGGTAAACATGTCATTGGGTTATCAAACTGCCCGGTGCAACAGTATTCTCCGGTATGGAACACGTCGCAGGCGCTCCGACATGCCACTGTCTTCCCATCCTCCTTCACCGCCAGCTCCGGTGGGCAATTGTCTCTCAAGTCTCCATCGCACCCCGCCGAGCTGCAGTTTCCTTTGCCACCCGACGGTTGTATTGCTACCGGGAGATTGAAGCCATCCACAACACTGACATCATAGTAATCAATAGAGCCAAGGGTAAAGTCAGCAAGGGTGGAAGGCCGGCTTCCCGGACCAGTACAGTTCAACACTTCCCCACAGCTACCGGTCTTACATTTCCCGTTTCCATCCTTGTCGAAGTCGCAGCCTGTTCGTGCCCATATCCGACCAGTCCACGAGTCGGGGATGGTGTAGACGGTGGATTGGCCACGCTTGAGGGAAAATCCACTGCCGGTAAAGTTTCCTCCGGGTGTGATGGCAGGCCATATTGTATCCTTGCATGAATTAACAATGGTGAAAGTTCTTGTACTCTCTGAGATCCTAGCAGCTGTGAGAAGATCAAAACATAAGTGTGAGCATTAAGAACATGAATAAAACATCAAGCTTTGAACTTATTTACCAATGAAAAAGAAGGTGAAGAAGGTGAAGAAGGAGAAGAAAGCCATAATATGTGGGTGAAGCTGGCAGTGAAAGCCATGGGAAGAGATGTGAAGCTTTTATAAGATCAGTAATGGAAGGAAGAAGAAGAAGAAGAGTAGGAGGAAAGAAAGAGAGTGAAAAAAGCTTCCTTGCTTAGATAGAGAGCATAAAGATCCAATGATACCTTGCTCTATCAAATGCTCTAACTCTCCACTATATCTCACATCCATTTCCTTTCTCTTCAACCATGATTCTCTATAAGAATAACAAAAAAGAAAATATATTCCATCGAGTAACGGTGAATATACATAGTCTTCACATGACGATCCAAATCTCTCGTTCATTTTTTAAGCTAAACAGTGTAACAGTAAGAACTCGAACATCTGACTCTTTTGAATTTATACAATTACATTCATGAGCAGGGGCAGGAAAGTGGTGGGCGGTAAGCGGGTTTTGATGAAGAAGAAAGTTGGGGAAGGGTTTGTTTCTTCTTTTAAGACTAAAGAAGAAGAAAAAGATGGTGGTGGTGACCATCGCCCGAGGACGGGTGAAGGGCGGGGAGGAGAGAAATTTTTATTATCATTTTGATACGTGAACTCCCATTAACGGGTTTTCGTATTCTCGTTAATTCAGTGTTCAATTTTAAATGTTCGTTCGGGATGAGATTCATTAACGAAAGATGAGCCATTTGGAATGAAGCTGGGTAGTATGTATGTAAGTAGGCATTTTGCTTTCTTATCCAGTTTCTTATTTCAGGACTGTACAGCTTAGCTTAGCATTCAAACTCATTTCATAATATATTACTAACACATATAGAGCCAGCAGGAGTTGCTTCCCTTTGGAAGAACAACATCCCTATTTCCTATGCAGAGTTAAAACAGGGGAAATATCTCCAGACTCTATACTGAATTTGTCTGGGGTGAAGAAAAGACCTGTTTGTTATTACTCGGTACAACCAAAAATGAGATTCCGATCGGACCTCGATCCTCTTGTGTTCTTCGTATCCTTCAGACGACTGTGTGCTGATTGATTTTCAATCCTACAAAGATGAGAAAGGAATGAGTTGTACTCTGATAGATATAAATGAATTGATTCTGTGCTAAGAAATGTGTATGCCACATGCTTTCAAGTCTATAATCAAACAAAATATGTCAAAGCTTACATGATCTCGATGTGAGGAATGTGTGGGCTGCCAAACTCTATGCGAATCTTCCTTTGTTTTCCCTGGTTTGTAGTGAAACAGCACCGGAGATGCACGTGGAGATGATACCCGGGGTTGATCAGCTGGAGGAACGACGATCAGTCTTGTAGACTTCGGATAGACGATTGGAGGCATTGAATGTTCATGAAGGGAAGGTGCAGGAACCATAGAAAGGGCTGGAGACGAGGTTTCACAATTTGCTCGAGGGGGGGAACAATTTGCAGGTGATCGTGCAGATCTCGATGGGTGTGGGGCACTCGGTAGTTCTACATGATCACCAGGTGCTGGGGCAGGAGCTGGAGAAAAACTCGGTGGCATAGCCATGGAGGTTCCCTTTGGATAAGAAGACAAACTGATGCCCTTGACTTCTCCAAAAACAGAATAATCAAGGCCGAGATTTCTTTCGGAAGAGGTATTGATGATTGCAGCCAACTGCTGTAATCTCTGCGTCGTTATGCGTCCCAATTCCGACGAAATAGAAGCCTGAACAACTACGATGGGCTGCATCGTCGAGCCAATCTTGTTCGTTATTTGCAAATACACATTCTGTAGAACAACAAAGAGGGGAATCCAACATCCATTACTCAACTTAAAATTTCATCTCAACTTATGATCTGATCTAAAGGTCTAATATTCAATAAATTCGAACCATAACAGGATAGGTTTCAGTACCTCATAAGGCCTCAGACACAATTCCAACTTAAGCTGGCTCATGAACTTTGCAAATTTGTTGAGTATTTCAGAAATGGAGTTAGTCAGAGTGAAGTTAAATACGATCTGGGGAAACTGCCAAATCGAAGCACGTTGAAACGGGATTATAGAGATTCCCCCTGGAAACTTGAGGATTTGAAATGCCGATGGCTGTCCAAAAATCGAAGTCGTCAAAGTAAGGTTGGATTTGTGAAGGAAAAGGTCATATAAAGACGATCTCAGCAGACTTAAGGACACTGGATTTATTGGAGTAGTAATGTATTCAGAAAGAAGACCAAAAACCACGTAAGTCCTGTTCGACTCACCTAAATCGTGCATCGACAGAACGGAAACCTGGTAACATAAACGACGCCCCTTAGTCATAAATGACTTTACTTATAAAACTAAATCCAAAACATTAACAGAGCACAAAACCTTCACGTTTGGTATGTCTAATTCACCATTGATATCAAACTCTAATCTCTTGATGTGAGGGAGAAGCTCCTCGACCGGCTTTTCGAGAACGAAATACACCTGAACTGTAGCTGGAAAAGATAACAAAAACTTTCTAAGCAACAAAAATTCACAGAACATCCAAGTTGAAGCAAAAGCAAAGTTCAGTTTGTTGCTGTCCAGCAAACTATGAAGTAAGAGTTTCAAAGTTAGCTAATGCCTCGTGAATCTGATTCGATCTGTACGGATTAAAGACTCGAAAAAGAAGAACACATACCCGATCCCTCGTGAATCTGATTCTAACCAAATAGCCCACAGAAAATCCAAGTTGAAGCATAAGCAAAATCTGGTTTTGTTGCTATCAAATAGCTATAGTGTAAGAGTTTCAAAGTCCGATCCACCAAATCGTCCTGAATCCGATTCTTCTGGGAATATGGTTCCCTGAGCTAAATGGTATGGAAGGAATATGATGCCTTTTACTATGTTCTAAATCATACAACTTTTCGTTCAACTTTCTTCCCATGAGGAAATTAGATTCCCTCATGAAAGAATGGAACCAGCATTAAGAACATCGTTATGAACAGAACAGACGATCAATATCGAAACTAGTGGTGGGCTTGACTATTATTCCATTTTAGTGTTTGTTTGCCCCAACATCTGAAAAATATTGCAAACGTTCTTTCGAGTAGTAGTATCAATGTGTGTCTCGGTTGCCGATACTCCATAGAGTGAGGAACAAAAGTGTAATAATAGCCTAAAGCCCACCACTAGCAAATATTGTCCTCTTTGAACTTTTCCTTTCGGGTTTCTCTTAAAGTTTTTAAAACGCATCTACTCGGGAGAGGTTTCCACACCCTTATAAGGAATGTTTCGTTCCCCTCTGCCACTTCAACATTTATGATAAACTTGAACCAAGTTTAACTAGTTTCGATAAAAACCACTAAGAACAGAAGAAAATAAAGAAGATAAACATAAAAACCAGCTTAAACCAGGATTAAACCTTGAGAAATGGCCTCTAAACTTCATAATTAAAGGACCCATCAAAGTAACTCTCAGAAATTTGTAGATCAGATGAGTTTATCTATAAACGCTTCCAGATTTACAATCTCAAGAGACACAGACAGAGCACAAAACAGAACGATCATTCAAAAGCATCAGAAAAGTACAAAATCCCATCACGAAATTGCAAGAAAAATCAGAGCAATCAAGAATCAAAGAGACATACGTACCACTGAGTTTAATGGCGTCTTTCGCCTCAAACCCTAAATTTCTTTCATGAAGCGGAAGAAGCCAAAAGAATCCAGGGAGAAACACCGCAAATCCCAAAATCAAAACGAACAAACACTTGAAATTCAACTCCGTAGAAGCCCTACAAAACGAAATCGAACATTCACGACAAATAAACCCAGAAGAATCCTCACGGCGGTGCTGCTGCGGCAGATTTTGATCTTCCCCTTTCCCCATTTGCAGAGCATCTGTAACAATCGCCCACGGAAAACCAAATCGAAGCCGGTAAAACGCACTAAAAAACAAAACCCTATGTGGATTCTTTCAGAAACAGCCAAAATTTGCGAACAGAATTGGAATAGATTGAAGAGAAGAGTAAAGGGGACGATGAGAATAAAGAAAGAAATCCCAATTGAAGGATTTAAAAATGGCAAGAACGGAAAGAAGGTAAAGCAAAGCTTGTCCAACAAATGGAGATCTAATGGAACTGTCACTCACTACCTTTCTGCAAATCCTAAGTGTCCATTGATTTTAGAACGAATATCAAATGGACAAAGGGAACGGATTTGTAATCTTTGGGTTTGGCGGAGATTTGATGAAATGAAGTAGAAATCGGTGCGTTGATCAAGGATTCCCATTTGGAGATTAGCGGGAAAAGGAATATCCATTTGTAACTGTAACTTGGACTGCAAGATTCAATGCATGTATTTAGAACTTCGTCTCAGCTGTTCAGAAAAAATAAATGCGGGACCGACCCGACCCGACCCGAGATTGTCGTTTATAAGTTGATTTAAATAAATAAAAATTTTATAAATTTAATTAGTTCAAATCAAACCCGAGTTATTGTTAATTTTAAAAAATATTATTTTTTATACAATTTTATATATATATATATATTAAATTTTATTTTATGATTTATTTTTCAACCAATTTATTTGGAAATTGTCAAAATATATATTAAAATTGAGTACGGATTAACATTTAACTTTTATTAAAAAACACGAACCAACCCAACTTTGAATTGAGTTCATTAAATTTACCATTCGAACAATTGGTTAGGTCTAAAACATGCACAAACTCAACTCAATCCAATCCATGAACACATGTATCGTTAACTAAGAGCTTCTCGATAATTTTTTCTTCCTCTACCTAAAACGCTACCTATCTCACAACAAATTAACTAACTCGTGTTTGTGGTGTGTTCATTTATATCGTGCAAAATCTCGATATGATTGAACTTTTCTTTCATTCGAGAGTAATGATGAGAATATGATTGTTAATGTTACTACTTATATCAATAACGTTCAAAGTTAGAAGTTTGGAACAATCTTCTATTCAGTGAAATCATTGAAATTTTATTGAGCAACTAAATTTGTCGATACGTAATTTTTGAAATAAAAATGAGCTCTTCAACTAAGATTCACGTACAAGTAGCTTGAAAATAGTAATCTCGGTACAATAATTTTAACTTATATATACTTTTTATTTTTAAAAATACAATAATAGTGTATTTTCTTTAGTACAACAAATTGGGTACGAAGATTTAAACCTCCAACTTTACCCGGAAGAGTACAACTCAATTACCATTGAACTATACACACTTGATCAACAATATTCACGTTTATAAGTTAAAACAAACAAACCCTGAAATCAATAGATGTACGGTCAAAGTATATCAAATATACGTACGGTCAAAGTATATCATATAATGCAGTTGTGTTCGATTTTAGATGACGAGATACAATGAGAATAAAGATGGGAGGACTCGAACCTCTGAATTATTAGCCAATGACAAATGTCGAAACAAATTGACGTTTCTAGTGGGTATCTCTAAACATTTTGACCATCAGTTTCTCTAAACATCCTCTGATCATAGAAAGGATGAAGAACATTGAATCTTAAGAATCAAAACTCACTAAATTCTATCAGAGCTTTCAAAGCAACAAAGAACAACAAAAACTGAAACTAGAGTTCAGTTCTTACGAGGAAGGAAAACAAAATAAGTAGATAACTTAAACTTCTCTTTCTGCAAGAAGAGTAGTAGACTTACAGGTTCTCTAAATAAGCTTTCTCTTCTGAAAGAATCGCTTCAAGAACCATATCTGTAGAGTAGAAGCAATAATGCAGACACCCAACGACATGATACTATACAACGCAACTCGTGCGTTCGTTCTCTCGCTCACCGTCCTCATATCTGCTTCTCTGTAAGGATTCAAAATTATATAAACGAGAGTCGAAACGGGTCACGAGTGGCAGCTAGATTTCGCTAAGCATTCAGGAAAGCTTGTTATAGTTAGTTACCTGTCCCTGAGATAAAGTAGATTTTCATGGATAGCTTCGACCGCTCCCTCGAGTTTCCGTAGCTCGAGTTCAACGCCCTAAACGAGAACAAGGTTGAGGCATTAGAATGGACGTTACAAGTAGCAGAGAAATATGAAAAGGTGAAGAGGGAATTAGGTGCCTCAATCTTCTCTTTTTTTGCAACTGATTCCCAATCCTTGGCAGCAATCCCAGTTCTCCAGTCAAGGTTCACACTTATCTCAAAACCAGGTTCAAGTTTTTGGTCAGTCAACCAGAAACAGACTAGGTAATTACCAGCTTCAGTGGTTGTAAATGCAAACTGACTATGTGTTATGTTCTCCGCGTGATGAAGAACGTTCCCATATGGCGATGCCACCTGAACGAGCTCGCCATCGATCAGTAAAGTGCAGAACAACAACAACTCACAATCAAGACATTAGAGGATCATACTTTCCCCACACATTAAGCAAACTCGAAAGTTATGGAATCATAATGAGGATCATACTTTACAAACTCGTAAACAGAATCATTCCCCACACATTAAGCAAAAAGCATTGCTTCGCACTAGAATTGTACGTGCTCGCTAATCAAGTCTTAAAAATTATGGAATCATAACGAGGATCATACTTTACAAACTCGAAAACAGAATCATTCCCCACACATTAAGCAAAAAGCATCGCTCCGCACTAGAATTGTACGTGCTTGCTAATCAAGTCTTAAAAATGATGGAATCATAATGAGGATCATACTTTACAAACTCGAAAACAGAATCATTCCCCACACATTAAGCAAAAAGCATCGTTTCGCATGTACGTGCTCGCTAATCAAGTCTTAAAAATTATGGAATCATAATGAAGATCATACTTTACAAACTCGAAAACAGAATCTTTCCCCACACATTAAGCAAAAAGTATTGTTTCGCACTAGAATTGTACGAGCTCGCTAATCAAGTCTTAAAAGTTATAGAATCATAATGAGGATCATACTTTACAAACTCGAAATAAGATCTTTCCCCACACATTAAGCAAAAAGCATCCCTTCGCACTAGAATTGTATATGTTTGCCAATCAAGTCTTAAAAGTTATGGAATCATAATGAGGATCATACTTTACAAACTCGAAAACAAAAACTTTCCCCACACATTAAGCAAAAAGCATCGTTTCGCACTAGAATTGTACGTGCTCACTAATCAAGTCTTAAAAGTTACGGAATCGTAATGAGTATCATACTATCTAACATGTTTGACATCATTGAATAAACGAACATTTCACCACCAAATGATAGATATCAATTTCTTAAAAGCAGGCACAACCAATAGACAGGTCATGAACAGTGACTCTATCAATAATACAGTTCAAATGCTGTAAAGAGTCTAAGCTTCCATAGGAGTTGATCAAGTTTTAGATTGAGGGATCAAAGAAAAACAAGTTAAAACCAAGAAATAGCACAGATCATATTAGTAGAGACGCGTATTTCCTAAGATCAATGACCTCTTCAGATGTTCAACAGGGATATGGAGATTAAAAAACAACGCCTCGACGATATCGACCAAAAAACTGGTCAAAACATATTATCTAGAGACTTGAATTGAATTGTGAGTAAATATCTGTCACTGTCAATACCACCAAAAAAACCGTTGAACTATGCACGCTTTAACAACATGAACGTTTATGAGATAGAACAAACAAACCCTCGAAATCAATATACAAGTCAAACAAAATAATCAATATACGTATATCATATTATGCAATTGTGTTCGATTTTAGATGACGAGATACAACGAGAGTGAAGGTGGAAGGACTCGAACCTTTGAATTATTAACCAACGACAAATGTCGAAACCAAGTTTTAGATTGAGAGGTCAAAGAGAAACAAGTTAAAACCAAGAAATAGCACAGATCATATCAGTAGAGACGCTTATTTCCTAAGATCAATGACCTCTTCAAGATGTCCAACAGGGATATGCAGATTAAAAAACAACCCCTCATCGATATCCACCAAAAAATTGGTCAATATATATATATATATATATATGCAGCCTCTAACGAAGAATTATTAAGCAATTTGCATGATATGTGCATCAGCAGCAGATTCCCAAGGTATTTCACTTCCTATTGAATGTTATGAAATAATCTTCACAGCCAAAATTGGAAATAAAACAAACTACAATCGGATGAAAAGCTCAGAAGAAATAGATCAAATCTCTAGGCATTTCGAAATGGATCGTTCAAAACCAAACGGGAGAAGACAAATCAACAAACAAATAGCACGGCAAGAACCAATCGTACGAATCGAAATAGAAAATCTCAAGGCAGTAATCAAAGAGATTGGCGAAGAATCAAAGAGACCTTGGCAGAAATGGTGGGGGCATTAGTTTGATCGGCGACGACGACATAATCAGCAAGAACCACGACGTTGTTCTGGATTTCCTCGGAGACGCACTTGGTCACAGATGGAGGCAAGCTCAACCAGATTGAATGGGCAGTTCGAACAAAATCTGAGGCGAGGAAACAGAGCACGAACAACGGCAACACCATTTCCCGGCGCATGATGTGTCCGATCAACGAACTCTGAACTCAAAAATATGAAAAATAAATCCCAACTAAAATTTGATTTTGTTTTTGTACTCTAAAAAAACTTTTTAAAAAATAATTAATAATTCATTTAATTTTACCAAATATAACTCGTGTTGAAAACAAGGATTATAAATTTATTTAAGTTTAAACAAATGAATAAATTAAATTGTTTTATAATTTTCTAAATTTAAATTTAATTAAACGAAACTGGCTCGAATTTATTAATAATTCATTTAATTTTATTTCATATAACTATTCAAAAAGAATAGATCAATTATTATAAATTTATTTAAATTAAGAATTGTTTTATGATTCAATCAAATTAACCTAAATTTATTATTAATTATAAAATAGTCATTTTCTACTCTTTTATAAACACATATTTATTTAATTTCACAATTGCTTTTCCCGACCCACGACCCACCGACCCAGATCCACCGTCAGCAGATATTGTCCTCTTTGGGCTTTCCCCTCAAGGCTTGTTCTCCTCCCCAACCAATGTGAGCTCTTTGGGCTTTCCCCTCAAGGCTTGTTCTCCTCCCCAACCAATGTGAGACATCACGATCCACCTCCCTTCGGGGGCATAGCGTCCTCGCTGGCACTCTTTCCTTCCTTCAATTGATGTAGGATCCACCTCCCTTCGGGGGCACAGCGTCCTCGCTGGCACTCTTTTCTTCCTTCAATTGATGTAGGACCGCCCCCCAAATCCACCTCCCTTCGGGGGCACAGCGTCCTCGCTGGCACTCTTTCCTTCCTTGTACTCTTTCCTTTCTCCAATTGATGTGGGACCGCCCCCAAATCCACCTCCCTTCGGGGGCCAGCGTCCTCGCACTCTTTCCTTCCTCCAATTGATGTGGGACCGCCCCCAAATCCACCCCCCTTTGGGGCCAGCGTCCTTATTGGCAGACCGCCTCGTGTCTGCTCCCCTTCAAGGAACAGCGAGAAGGCTGGCAACTCTTTCCTTCCTCCAATTGATGTGGGACCGCCCCCAAATCCACCCCCCTTTAGGGCCAGCGTCCTTATTGGCAGACCGCCTCGTGTCTGCTCCCCTTCAGGGAACAGCGAGAAGGCTGGCAACTCTTTCCTTCCTCCAATTGATGTGGGACCGCCCCCAAATCCACCCCCCTTTGGGGCCAGCGTCCTTATTGGCAGACCGCCTCGTGTCTGCTCCCCTTCAGGGAACAGCGAGAAGGCTGACAACTCTTTCCTTCCTCCAATTGATGTGGGACCGCCCCCAAATCCACCCCCCTTTGGGGCCAGCGTCCTTATTGGCAGACCGCCTCGTGTCTGCTCCCCTTTAGGGAACAGCGAGAAGGCTGGCAACTCTTTCCTTCTTCCAATTGATGTGGGACCGCCCCCAAATCCGCCCCCCCTTTGGGGCCAGCATCCTTATTGGCAGATCGCCTCGTGTCTGCTCCCCTTCAGGGAATAGTAAGAAGGCTGGCACATCGTCCGGTGTCTGGCTCTAATACCATTTGTAACGACCTAGATTCACCGCTTTCGGGCTTCCCTCAAGCCTTTAAAATGCGTCTACTAAGGGAAGGTTTCCACACCCTTATCAATGCTGATTTGTTGTCCTCCCCAACCAATGTGGGACATCACAATATGGTTATGGGTGAAAATAGTTAGTGTTTTGTTTCAAAAATATTTTTTAATTTTTAATAGCGTTTTAAAAATATCATTATAATTCAATTTTAAAAAAAATTCAAAAATACGTTTACGGTTAATACTCCCTTTAAAAAAATATTAGAAGTAACAGTAACACCTTTTACATAAATAAATAAATAAAATCTTATAGTTTATGGACACCTCATTCATCGTCAAACTTATATTACTTTTGAAAGTTCATGAATATTATTGAAACCTAACACCTCGTGGTGCAACGGGTCCAAGCACAATGGGGCTCTCACCTTCTCTGACGCTCTCTTCCAGGGGATTTATGTTCGGTCCGTTGCTGAGGACACTTCTCCAGGCTACAATTCGAACGCCGAGGGTGCCCAATTCTCAAGATGGGCTCTTCCCGGTTCGCTCGTCGTTACTAAGGGAATTCCTGTAAGTTTCTTTTTCTTTGCTTATTGATATGCTTAAAACTCAACGGGTAGTTCCACCATCCTAATCGTAAAAGAATATATTATTTTTGTGTAATTTTAAAAGAAAATTAAGAGTATAGGAATATTTTTAAAGCTATTATTTAATTATTTTTGTTTTAAAAAAGTTTAATATTATTTTTAAGATAAAGTGGAGAATTTAATAAATTGGGCCAATATTCCTTTTCAAACGTTTACTTCCATCACTCTGCAAGTACTGCTCCCACCTTCTTCCCCACCGATTCATAATTCCTACTTTTCTCCTTCCCTCTCAGATCTCAAAATTTCCCCCAAAAACCCTCTGATCATGGAAGCTCTCATCTCCCAGTTCACCTTCCTCTCCGATCAAGCTCTACGCGACAAGAATTTCGATCCCTCCACCATTGAAGACCTTATGAAGCTCTTCGAGATCGAAGCCTACAAGTCCTGGGCCGCCAGCGAGCTTCAACTCCAGAACGAGGCTCAAGAAGCTGAGATCGCGATGCAGAAGGCTGAGGATTATCTCGATTCTGTTATGGAAGACGCTATGGATGAGTTCAGAAGGTTCGAGGAGGAGTTCGATCGGATGGCTGAAGCCGAGCTCCAGGAACTCGTGGACAAATCTGAGAAGGCTCGTAAGATGGGTAGTTTGATGGAGAAGGCTGCGGCGGTTGCTTCCAAAAGGTACATGGAGGCGGCTATGAACTCCGCTACCGCTTCCATGAGATCCGCTTGGAAGGCCATTTCGTCCAATAAGGTTCATCCGTCCTGAGGTAATTATTACTTGCTTTCCATTTCTTGTTCGATTGAAATCTATTTAGGTTTTCAATATCGACTCTCTGGAAATTTGGATCAAATCCTTGTATTCTACTGTAAAATTAAGGCATAAATAGCTACAATTCTATACTTAAATTCATCAAGCCTCCTAGATATGAGTACTCTGTTTAATAGATACAAACTGCATTGTGATAACGCTATCAGAAGCCTTCTGATAGCAACTCTGCTTACAAAAAGAGTAAAAAATTTCTGGAACTGAAAAATTGATGCCCAAGTAGCTGTCCAATTCATCCTTAAGCTACCCTATGTTCGTTCTAACTTGAACTGAGAAATTCAACCGTGGGGATCTAGATTTCATGGTGGTTCTGAAAAATGGAGTTTGATTGACTTGTTATAGTTGTTGGGATAGTTGCGAGGGAGTCTCACGTTGGCTAATTTTTGGGAGGTCATTCATCTCCATTGATACCAAAAGTAAAACTATAAGAGCTTGTGCTCAAAGTGGATAATATCGTACTATTGTGGAGGATCGTGGTTCCTAACATGATATTAGAGTCATGCTCTTAACTTTAGTTATGTCAATTGAATCCTCAAGTGTTGAACAAAAAAGTTATGAGCCTCGAATGTGTAGTTAAAGAAAGTGACTCAAGTGTCAATCAAAGGGTATACTTTGTTCAAGAGCTCCAGAAAAAGGAGTCGAGTCTCAATTAAGGGGAGGTTGTTCGAGGGCTTCATATACTTCAGGGGAGTCTCTATGGTGTTACTTTGTTCCGGGGAGAATTGTTGGGAGGGAGTCCCACGTGGGCTAATTAAGAGGATGATCATGAAATATATCTCCATTGGTATGAGACCTTTTGGGAAACCAAAAGTAAAGCTAGGATAGCTTAGGATAAAAGTGGATAATATCATATCATTGTAGAGGTTCGTGGTTCCTAACATGATATCAGAGTCGTGCCCTTAACTTAACCATGTCAATAGAATCTTCAAGTATTGAACAAAGAAGTTGTGAGCCTCAAAGGTGTAGTAAAAAAAAAAAGACTCAAGTGTCGATCAAAGGGTGTACTTTGTTCAAGGGCTCTAATGAAAGGAGTCGAACCTCAATTAAGGGAAGACTGTTCGAGCGCTCCATAGGCCTCAGGAGAGTCTCTATGACGTACTTTGTTCGAGGGGAGGATTGTTGGGAGAGAGTCTCACGTCGGTTAATTATGGAAGATGATCATGAGTTTATAAGTAAAAAAAAATACATTTCCATTGATATGAGATCTTTCGGGAAAATCAAATACTCAAAAAAGATAATATCATGTCATTGTAGAAGTTCGTAATTTCTAACAAACCACGTGATTGACTTCTTTGTTAGGGTTAGGTTGAGAGAGGATGGGTTGGGTGAATAATAATGATCGCCTCTTTGTTTTCCTCCCCCTTCTTTCCCTTTCTTCCTCTCGACACTAAGATGAGTCGAGCGGCTTGATTCTTTGAAGTTCAAGATTAGGCAAGAACATGCCTTGAAGTTTATATGATATAAGAAGTGCACATAACCAAAATTAATGGTTTTTTCCGGCCGATGCAACTTCCACTCTACGATGTTAAAACTCGAACTGTAATAATGAATTTCAAACATCGACAGTCAAAGAGAGAATTCTATAGAAACATTCAATAAATTATATGTATGTGTGCATGTATGTGTATATGTGTGTAAGAGAAAATGAGATTTGCTTGTAATATCGGTCATGTATGATCGACCATATTACCTACTCATTTTGAAGTACTTTTAGGAGGGCATCGGCAACGTGACCGTATTATCTGCTTGACTTTACTTTTAACCGTGCTTAACTTTAAATCAATCTTTTAACATATTTTGTCATTGCTTACATATTTTATGGAAAATTCTTATAAGGTTACCTAGGAAAGTGTATCTTGTTGGTATAAGTAGTAACAAATTGGATGGAAAGACACGTGTTTAAGATATTATCGGCTTATTTTGGAATTTATGTATTTGGCATTCTTTGACATAGCCACGGTACCTACTTCTCGCTTCTTAAGAGTGAATACTATCCCGTAATCCAATACGAGTCCTTCCAACATACTTTTTGTTTTATCACTCATGCATTCGAGGAAAATTTCTAAGAGGCCGTCCAATAAAATATTGTTCCAAGTAAAATATGTTTAACCACGAAATTTCTATGATTGAGCGACCAAAAAAGAATGTGCATCTTATTGATCTATGTAGAAACTTTCAATTTTTTTCTTCGCTATCCTATCTTGAGGATCTATCTCATTCATGTTACGTCTCAGTTACTTAGGAAATTATTCGATGAAATAATAATAAAAAAATTAATGAGAGAAATATATTTTAAATTTATATCCATTTTTTAATCAACTAGATAATTACATAAAATAACATAAAATAAAATATTATGCAACTAGTGACCCATTTAATATTTGGGCTCCACAAAAATGGTTCAAACCCGACAAAAGTAGTTACACGAAAATTCCGAAAGCTCGTAAAATATCTTGTTAAGCTGTACAATGTCACGGTCCTACCTTTTCAACCATGCAACATCATAATTGTTAGACGAACACGACTCTCCACAATGGTATGATATTGTCCACTTTGACTCATATCTTTGCTTGACTTCCCCAAAAGGTCTCATATCAATGGAGAGAGTATTTTTTTCTTTTATAAACCCATGATCATTTCTTAAATTAGCCGATGTGGGACTTTCATCATCCAACAATAATCTTGGTACTTTTTAAATCGTACGGTGGTGTCAGAGTCGTACTTCTTAGTCTAGATTTGACGCTTTCTCCCACCTAAACTAGCTATATCGTCTTCGATAACTTTCTCTTAAGAGAGTCGGGGTCGAGATAGACTCGAAACCTCTATCTTTAAAAATAATATTAGTAGCCGATCAACTGTCGTACAGTCCCCCCATTATGAGTATAAATAGAAGGGCTTAGTTGGGCATAGAATTCAAAGAAGAGAAAGAGAAAAAATGGAGTTGAATTTGGAGCCGATGAGTCCAAAACCCTTCTTCCAAGGAGAAGGTGGATCCTTCCATAAATGGTTCCCTTCGGATTTTCCGATGATTGCTCACACCAAAGTCGGCGCCGGCCGACTCCTCCTCCGGCCACGTGGCTTCGCCCTTCCCCATAACTCCGATTCCTCCAAAGTTGGATACGTTCTTCAAGGTTTTTATTTATTTATTTTTATTTTTAATATTTAGTGTAAATTGAGAAATAAGGGTCGTGTAAGATGGTTCGTAAATTGAATTGGGTCGGGTTGGAATATCTTTTATAAAATTTTTTAATCAAACAACTTTTATTAAATAATTAATTTTATTTTTTTAATAAAAATAATAAATTAATTTATAATATATTTATTTATTTTGAAACCCATAATTAAGATTTACTACTGAATTAAATAAATATATGTACATATAATTGTATTCAGGTATTGGACTTGCCGGGATTCTATTCCCAGGAAGCTCCGACGAAGCAGTGGTGAGACTTAAGAAAGGCGACCTGATTCCGGTGCCGGAGGGAGTCACCTCCTGGTGGTTCAAGAGACTCCGATTTCGAAGTCCTTCTCGTCGGCGACACCCGAAACGCCCTAATTCCCGGCGATATTACCTACGTCGTCTTCACCGGACCCCTTGGAGTACTACAAGGCTTCTCGCCGGACTACGTTAAAAAAGTCTATAATCTAAACGGAGAAGAAACAGACGCGCTTCTCAAAAGTCAAACCAACGGCCTAATTTTCAAACTCCGGCAAGACCAAATGATGCCGGAGCCTAACCGTCATGACGACCTTGTTTTCAATATATACGACGTCGTTTCTAGAGACGAGGGAAATGGGTCGGTGACGGTTGTGACGGAGAAGGAGTTTCCGTTCATTGGGAAATCTGGGTTGACGGCGGTTCTCGAGAAGCTTGAGGCCAACACCGCCCGCTCGCCGGTATACATCACCGACCCGTCGGTGCAGCTGGTATATATTGCAAGCGGGTCGGGTCGGGTTCAGATTGTTGGGTTTTTGGGGAAAATTGATACGGTGGTGAAAGCGGGTCAGTTGGTTTTGGTTCCGAAGTATTTCGCCGCCGGTAAGATCGCCGGCGAAGAAGGCTTGGAGTGCTTCACCATTGTCACTTCCACAAGGTAATATTCAATTTTGATTCTCTTTTTTTTTTTAAAAAATAATATTTATAAACTTAAAAATCATATAAATTAAATAAATATAAGGTATATAATTAACCGAGTTCGGTTGCTTGTAACACAGCCCTAAGCTAGAAGAGTTAGGAGGAAAAACATCAATTCTCGGAACGTTTTCCCCACAAGTTTTTCAAGCTTCATTCAACGTGACGGCTAAGCTGGAAAAGCTTTTTAGATCGAAAATAACAGAAGCGTCGCCCATTAATAAATAATGTATAATTTACCCGATGTTAATTTTATTATATGATTCAAATCCGTGCCCAATCTTAATAAATAAATAATATTCAATCTTTTATATAAAATATCATAATCGTTAAACTATATTATATATTGTAATGAGGTTACACAATAATAATTAAATTAATAATAGTTTATATTCCACGTGTAATTTTAATAAGTAATTTAAATTAACAATAAATTCAACTATATATTTTTTTAGTAACTTCCTTATTTTCAAACGAGTTGGTACGACATTTTGACTTTATCAACGACTTTAGACATGTGACTATTTGTAGCAATTTAATATTTTTATTCATAGACCTAAGTTTGTAATAATTTTAAAATTATTGTCTTATATGAACAAATAATTAAATTATTTTTTTTATTATAGCTTAATCGATTAAAATATATTATCAAATTATATTAAAATTAAAATAATTAAGTCAAAGTTTGGTTGCTTAATTTGACACACAATTCGATTCGGTTAATAAAAGACGAAATCAAAATGTATTAAAATATGATTTTGATGTTCGTAATTTGTACGTGTGTGTATATTATATATATATATATGTAATTAAGTCAAAAGTTTGATTGCTTAATTTGACCTACCATTCGATTCGTTTAATAAAAGACGAAATCAAAATGTATTAAAATATGATTTTGATGTTTGTAATTTGTACGTACTTGTGTGTGTGTGTGTATATATATATATATATATATATTAAGGTCTTTCAATGTAATGTCGCTTCTTATCTTGTCATCTTGATCCCCATCAACATGGTTCATATGTCTTGACGCCATCTCGAGTCTCGGGATGTCGTCAGCTATCACAACTCGCTTGGTCATGCCATTGAGAATGGACCCGCGTGTCGCTCATCTCATCGGGACTTTCCGAACATCCATCCATCCGGGTTCTATTGAGGCATTGGCCCTCTCGTGCTCATGCCATGTCATTTACGGATATTGTCCTAGATAGTGGGTGTATGTAGCAACCTCCCACATGCGAGTTGGGGTGTAATACTGGCACACCTGTGCCGCTTGGTGGTGTCATTGAAAAACCCATTTCAAAAGAAGTTGCCCGACACTCGTCTCGGCACGCTCGCCTACGCTGTGAAACACACATGTCCGTGCCCATGCCATGTCATTTACGGATACCGTCTCGGATAGCGGGTGTATGTAACAACCTCCAACACGCAGGTTGGGATGCAATATTAGCACACCTGTGGCGCCCGATACTGTCCTTGAAAAACTCATTTCAAAGGAAGTCACCCGACACTCGTCTTGGCACACTCGCCCACGCTGTGACACACGCATGTCCGTGCCCATGCCATGTCATTTACGGATACCGTCCTGGATAGTAAGTGTATGTAGCAACTTCCAACACACAGGTTGGGGCATAATATCAACACACCCGTGCCGCTCGATACTGTCCTTAAAAAACCCATTTCAAAGGAAGTCGCCGGAGACACTCGTCTCGGTACGCTCGCCCACTCTGTGACACATGCATGTGCTACTAGGTACAAAAATTTGAGTTTATTTATTACTAGGCAATTAAGAAAAAATAAAAAATATATTTATGAAATTATTTCCACATCATTTATTGTGGATAGGAATCCATACACGTGGAGATTGAAGACAAGAAGGGGTATTGTTTTGTAGTTATAAATAAACACGTGATGTATTTTAATTTTTATTTTATAATTTCAATATAATTGGGGGGTATGGTTGCAAACACGTATAAATTGTTGTTAATGATGAAGTGTTGCAATTGCAATTATCTCCCTTAAATTATACATATTTATAAAAAGATCCCCACTTGTCGGTAGAATTGCTTTAAATACCCCAAGGTGGAAGCCACTGGAAACCACCCCTTCCATGGAACAGCCGATGAATCCAAAGCCCTTCACTGAGGTAGAAGCTGGATCTTATCACAAATGGCTGCCTTCTGAATACCCTTTGCTTGCTCAGAACAAAGTCGCCGCCGGCCGCCTTCTCCTCCGCCCTCGCGGCTTCGTGGTCCCCCACTACGCCGATTGTTCTAAAGTGGGTTATGTTCTTCAAGGTAATCAACTTCTCAGTGTGTTATATGATATTGTCCACTTTGAACATAAGCTATTATGACTCTGTTTGAATTCTCTTCCAATAATTCCCGATGTATTTTGGTTGCAGGGGAGAATGGAGTTGCCGGGTTGGTGTTTCCGAGCAAGTCCGATGAGGTGGTGGTGAACTTGAAGAAAGGAGATTTGATTCCAGTGCCGAACGGAGTCTCGTCGTGGTGGTTCAACGACGGTGACTCCGATTTGGAAATCATTTTTTTGGGTGAATCAAAAAACGCTCATGTTCCTGGTGACATCTCTTACTTTGTTCTCTCCGGACCTCTCAGCCTCCTGCATGGCTTCTCGCCGGAGTACGTCGGAAAAACCTATTCTCTAAACGGAGAAGAAACAACCCAATTTCTCAAAAGTCAATCCAACGCTCTGATTTTCTCAATTCAGCAAACTCAATCCCTTCCCAAGCCATCCAAATACAGTAAATTTGTTTACAACATTGACGCCGCCGCGCCGGACGGTAGAGTCAAGGGCGGCGCCGGCGCTGTCACGACGGTGACGGAATCAAAATTTCCGTTCATTGGTCAATCTGGGTTGACGGCAATTCTCGAAAAGCTCAACGCCAACGCCGTCCGTTCGCCGGTGTACGTCGCGGAGCCGTACGATCAACTGATCTACGTGGCTAAAGGACGTGGGAAAATCCAGATCGTTGGATCTTCGAGTAAAATTGATGCAGAGGTGAAAATGGGTCAGCTGATTTTAGTCCCCAAATTCTTCGCCGTCGGAAAAATCGCCGGAGAAGATGGCTTGGAGTGCATCTCCATTATCACAGCAACACAGTAAAAAGCTTCAATTTTTACCCTTTTATTTTTAACTTTAATCTCTGAACCTTAAAATTTGACGTTGTAAAATTGAACAGCCCTGTGGTGGAAGAACTGGCCGGAAAGACGTCGGTGTTGGAGGCATTGTCACCGGAGATTTTTCAAGTTTCGTTCAATGTCACGGCGGAGTTCGAGAAGCTTCTTAGATCGAAGATCACAAACGCTTCACCGGTGATCGGATCTTCCGATTGAAGACTGAATTATTAATATTAGAATATAATATTTGAATGTTTGGGTATTATTATTATTATTGGTTTTTACGCTATTAAATTTGATCCCCAATCCCTATGATAGTGATGTGGGGGCTTTCTGGTCATTTCACCACTTGAACTTTTATATGAATTATTGTGAAGATTATGATTGTTGATGAATGTATTGTCTAATATAATATCTTATATATTTATTATGTTTTTTTAATTATTTTTTTGTTCTATCAATTCAAACCTTTAATTTTTTGGATGGGAGGTAAAATGTCTAAACTAGACAAGCTATTATTACGAGCGAAAAATTGTTATTTTTTTAATCTAAAATATGTTTTAATAATTTAATTTTTTAAAAATCAAGTTAAAATTATAAAGCCAAACAAAAATTAAATTTTTTACTATTTCTTAAAAGAATATAGATTAAAACTATAAAGACTAAGTTTTGAGATTATTTTCAAAATTAAATTAAAATTCGTAGGGTTAGAAAGATTAAATTAATAAAAATATCTCTCAATAATATTTTTAAATTAAAAAAAAGTCTATAAAAAATATTTTTCTCGTAAATTTTAGGTAGAAACTATTAGTAACTCTCCAAAAATATTTTTACGGTTAAAACTTTATAAATAAAAGTTTTAAATTTTTTACCATTAATATATGAATAAAAACTGTCTATGTTTAATTTTTTATTGTTGCTGATGAGTATTTTTAAAGGGTATTTTAGAATTAAAAAAATAAAAGTTTTTTTTTAAGTTAAAAAATGTTTAAAGATATTTTAGATTTTTTTTAATAAATTTAAAATTATTAATAAAACTTAATTTTAAACTAATAAAATATTAATTTTTCACCAAACATGTAATTATATTTTTGAATTTAATGTTATTTTTTGAAAGTTTAAATTATTAATAAATTTTTAAAAAATTTTGTGTTATTTTTTTAGATAAATGCAAGTTTGAAGAGTATTTTTTTTTAATTAAATTGGCTTTTAAAAACTTATTAGTAATTTAATTATTTCTTTTAAAAAATATTAAAACTTAAAAATTGGAAGAAACAAATATAAATTTAAAAATATATAATGCAAAAGTTTTCTTTTCCCTCCATTTCTCTCTCCCCTGCGAAGGTCACAACAGAGGGAAAACCTAACGACTGTCGATGCTCAATGGCATTCGGTTATCGATCTTCATCCCAAACCCTAATCGCCTTCTCTTTCGGATCCTCCATTCTTACCTCGGTTCTTCTCACATCGACATTGCCCCTCCGCCATCATCCCCACCATTCAAATGCTCAATCTCGCCCCGTTCCCTCTCTGCAACTCTTCGCAACCTCCTGCAGCCGCTCTCTGCGCCGGATCCACCTCCGATTCTCTCTTATGCCTCGGTTTTCCAGTTCCTTACTGGCCAAAATCTGTTGAAATTGGGCCAACAAGTTCATGCCCATATGCTTCTCCGTGGCCTTGAGCCCACTGCACTTGTTGGTTCCAAGATGGTTGCGTTTTATGCGAGTTCTGGTGATATTGATTCATCTGTTGCGGTTTTCAATCGGATTAGTGAGCCTTCTTCTCTCTTGTTTAATTCTATGATTCGAGCCTATGCGCGATATGGGTTTGCGGAGAGAACGGTTGCCACTTATTTTTCTATGCATTCTTGGGGCTTTACAGGGGATTACTTTACTTTTCCTTTTGTTCTTAAGTCTTCTGTGGATTTGTTGAGTGTTTGGATGGGGAAATGTGTTCATGGACTGGTTTTGAGAGCTGGGTTGGAGTTTGATTTGTATGTGGCTACTTCTTTGATTGATATGTATGGGAAATGTGGTGAAATAAATGATGCGCGTAAGGTGTTTGATAAAATGACTGTTAGAGATGTTTCGTCTTGGAATGCTTTACTTGCTGGTTACATGAAGGGGGGGTTTATAGATGCTGCTGTGGCGATTTTTGAGAGAATGCCGTGGAGGAATATCGTCTCTTGGACGACTATGATTTCTGGATACTCACAGAGCGGCTTGGCACAGCAGGCATTGAGTTTGTTTGATGAAATGCTGAAAGAAGATTCAGGAGTAAGACCCAATTGGGTGACTATAATGAGTGTCCTCCCAGCTTGTGCACAATCATCGGCACTCGAACGTGGAAGGCGGATTCACGAGTTGGCTTGTCGGATGGGTTTGAATTCCAATGCTTCTGTGCTGATTGCCCTTACTGCAATGTATGCTAAATGTGGAAGCTTAGCTGATGCTCGCAACTGTTTCAATCGGCTTAATAGAAGTGAAAAGAGTTTGGTTGCTTGGAATACCATGATTACTGCTTATGCTTCGTATGGACATGGGCGGGAAGCCGTGTCAACCTTTCAGGAGATGATCGAAGCAGGCATACGGCCCGACGACATTACATTCACAGGATTGTTATCCGCTTGCAGCCATTCAGGTCTTGTTGACATTGGCTTGAATTACTTCAACTACATGAGCACCACATATTCGACGAATCCCAGAGCTGAGCATTATGCTTGTGTTGTCGATCTCTTAGGTCGGGCTGGAAGATTAGCTGAAGCAAGTAAACTTGTAGATGAAATGCCAATGCCAGCAGGACCGAGCATTTGGGGTTCGTTATTAGCTGCCTGCCGAAAATACCGCAATCTAGAAATGGCAGAAACTGCAGCAAGAAAGCTATTTGTCCTCGAACCCGAAAACACTGGCAACTATGTCCTGCTCTCAAACATGTACGCCGAAGCTGGAAGGTGGCAGGAAGTTGACAAGCTGAGAGCGATTCTGATATCCCAGGGGACAAAGAAAAGTCCAGGTTGCAGTTGGATCGAGGTCAATGGCATAGCGCATATGTTTCTCGGTGGCGACACGTCCCACCCTCAAACCAAGGAAATCTACATGTTCTTGGAGGCATTGCCGGAGAAGATGAAGGCAGCTGGCTACACTCCTGATACTAGCTTTGTGTTGCATGATATCAGCGAGGAAGAGAAAGAATTTAACCTCATTGCACACAGTGAGAAGCTTGCGGTTGCATTCGGAATCCTCAACACTCCTTCCGAAACCGTTCTCCGAGTTACGAAGAACTTGAGAATCTGTGGGGATTGCCACACTGCAATGGTGTTCATATCAGAGATATATGGACGGGAAGTCGTTGTTCGAGATGTGAATCGGTTCCATCACTTCAAAGCGGGTTCGTGTTCTTGTGGAGATTACTGGTGATTGATTCAAATTGAGGAAAATTTTAATTTATAAATTTTTGGGCTAATTATATTATTTGATCTCTGTTTATCTATCTTTAAACTTTTAATTTTAAATTTATAGATATATTATATAGTTTTATTAAATACATTATTTAATATTACATCTTTTAATTAAGAATTTATGAGATTGATAATTCAATGGTCTATTAAAGGTTTATTTTGTTAATAACTCATTTAATTTTTTTCTAAAATAAATATTTTAAAAGGTTTTGGAGTCGTATTAAAATTTCATAATAATAATTATATTAATTAAATATTAAACAATAATTTGTAATTATTTTTACTTATTTAATTTAAAATCACATAAAATAAATTATTATTTTACAAAGATTTCAGAAAAATGATCATAAATTACGAAAAAGGACCTATGTAAAATCATTATATTTATTTGATTTTTACATTTTTTTTCTTTATAATTTTTATATTTAAATAAATTATCTAAATTAATTCATTTTAATGGTTACAATTAGTCCAATTTATGAATAAATTAATGTCCAATAATAACGTAACATTCCCTTATGTGTTACATAGAAACGACAAATCGTGATAATCATTTTTTGGCGCGTGAGAAATGGCGCGTGAGATCAACACTACGGTGTTCTGTAAAGTACAGTTGAACGCTGAAGCGTATACTATAAAATCTTTGATGTGAAGCAAAACCCAAAAGCCCTCGGAAAAGAGCCTCCATTGGAATATCCACATCTGCTACACTCTCCCTTCCGCCTCTATAGCCGGAGAATTTCTGCGACGGTCGCCGGAATCGCCGTTCTACAATCACCATGCCGCAGTCGTTGGAGCTTTTGCTCATTCAATTCCTTATGCCTGACAATGATGCCCGGCGGCAAGCGGAAGAGCAGATTAAGCGCTTGGCCAAGGATCCGCAGGTGGTGCCTGCTCTTATTCAGCACCTACGCACTGCCAAGACTCCCAACGTCCGTCAGTTGGCTGCTGTTTTGCTCCGCAAAAAGATCACTGGTCATTGGGCTAAGCTTTCACTTCAACTCAAGCTGTTTGTTAAGCAGTCATTGATTGAGAGCATCACTATGGAGCACAGGTCTTTTTTATTTACATTATTTCTTGTGAATTCTGAATTTTATTTTACAATTGAGCTCTCTCTCTTTCGCTCTCTCTACTATGGTGCGGAATGAGATGAATGCTTGGAGTGAGTGCAAATGATTCGGCGTAAAGGGAATTGAGTGTGTTCCAATTCGTGGAGTTACGTCTTTGGTTTCTTCCTAGCGTTAGTTAGGTTTTATTATTGAAATTTTATTGATTATGACTTCATTGAGGGTGTAGAATTCCTTTCATATACGCTGCGATTGATTCTCTGAGTGTTCTATTATTAACAAATGTGTACTGGTGATTTTGCAGTCCACCTGTGAGGAGAGCAAGTGCGAATGTCGTAAGTATTGTTGCTAAATATGCTGTTCCAGCAGGGGAATGGCCGGAATTGTTGCCTTTTCTGTTCCAGTGTAGTCAGAGTTCCCAGGAAGATCATAGAGAAGTAAGTTCTTACCCTACAAGAATTTTAACTAATGTGCAATCTATCAGTGTGAATGTACTTGTACCGCAGAGGCACGGCTACATTGTCAAAATGACTAAATAATTTTAGAATGAGTATCTTTTGTATGATCCTCTTCTTGTAGTTTCAATGTTGGTCCATGTTTTCTACTGTGTTGAAGATTTTGAAGTCTGATTAAACGCTGCAATCGGAATAGACTAAATCCAATTGTTTCATCTTACTAAAATGTATGATTCCCTTGGTGTTAGTAGGTGGCTTTGATTCTATTCAGCTCCCTGACAGAAACGATTGGAAATACTTTCCTACCACATTTTACAGATTTGCAAGCTCTCCTACTTAAGTGTTTGCAGGATGAGACTAG